TTTTTTTTTTCTGTCGGTTCTGTATCTGTAGTAGGTAAAGATGCACGGTTTAGAGTTAGATCCAGATCAGAACTTAGCGTAATTATTAATCATTTTGATAAATATCCTTTACAAAGTACTAAAGCTCTTAATTTCAGATATTTCTGTGAGATTCTTAATCTTATTAACGACAAAGTTCATACTAATATACCAGGTTTTTTAAAATTAGCTTCTTTAATAAATAGATTGAATAAACCTTTATCTGATTCTTTATTAGCTAAATTAGCTCTATTAGGTCCTTTGCCTAAAGTAGAGTTTGAAACATCTTATAATTTTAGTTCTGAAAACATGGTGCAAATTCTAAATCCCTTCTGGATATCTGGGTTCGCTGCTGGTGAAGGTTCATTTACTTATTTTACAAAAACTCGTGTGAATTCAGCAAACAAAACTGTTAAGGATTATTTTCTTGTGTTTGAAGTTAGTCAAAGAACGCAAGATTTACATTTATTAAATTTAATAGCTTCTTATTTTAAAACAGGGAAAGTTTACACTGAAACTAGCGGAGTTAGCAGATTTAGATTAAGTGGTAAAGATCATATTATTAGTACCTTAGTACCTCACTTTAGAGATTATCCGTTACAAGGTCATAAGAATCTACAATATTTAGCATGGTTAAAAGCAGTTCATCTTTTAACTGACCAGGTTAAAACAAAGGAAAGAGACGAAGAATTAGAAATATTAATAAAAGATTTATCTAGTTTAAAATAACATAACTACACAGAATTCGGCATTACAATCCTAGTGTAGCAGAAGCATTTAATAGTGTTGAGCATAGCGTAATGTGCTCGTTAAATCAACCCGTATGCTGGAAGTTCCTAAAGATTAAAAGATTAAACTTCGCTTACGAAGTTAATAAAAATATTTAAGATATTTATGGATAATCAGCAGGAAACCAAAGTAATTCAATTACGAGTAAGATCCTCAGAGACTACATGGTTGACATACTTACTGTATGATGATATAGTCCTATATTGGTTGAAAGATCAATAGTTAAAGATTAATCCATTATACCTATTTAACGGTCTAATATTATTGCCTACTTACGTATCGGGTCATAAAAATAAAATGGGATTTTGTAACTATTCTACTAACTGTAATAAAAATTCTAATGTACGTACTGAAGACAACCTATTGAAAAATGTTTCCAGCGAGTTCTTATACTGATTTTCAGGATTAACAGATGCGTCTAGCCGAAGAAAATATAGTACTAAGAAATCAAGTACTAAGAAATCAAGTACTAATAACGAATTAAATTTAGTAATTTGAGGTACAAATTTAAGGTCTCAAGTGGGTACAGGTAAATTTACAAAGTTAGTTACCTCTATGATAAAATTACCGAATTATAATAAGAGTATTATAATAGGATTATTATTATCAGATGGTTGGTTAACCTTTGCAAGTAAAACAAATAAAAATGCACGATTAGGGTTTAAACAAACTATAAATAAAGCATCTTATGTATGGTTTATTTTTAATGAATTATCTCATTATTGTAGTAGTTACCCTTATTACGCAGAAAGTAAAAGATCAGGAAAAGTACTTTATAATTTAGGTTTTTTTACTCGAGGATTGACTTGTTTCACTGAATTATACCCATTATTCTATATAAATAACGTTAAAATAGTACCAGAAGATATTTATAATCTTTTAACTCCAGTTGCTCTAGCTCATCTTATCATGGGAGATGGTGGATTTAAAAGTAAAGGTATTTATATTTGTACTGACTCTTATACTATTCAAGATACAGTCCGATTAATGAATGTATTAATTATACGTTATGATTTTAAATGTACTCTTCATAAAGCTAGTAATGAACATGGATATAGGATATATATTTCTCGGAATTCATTATACAAAGTAAAAAAGTTAGTTAAACCCCATTTTATACCCAGCATGTTTTACAAACTAGGTGGGTAGTCCCTAGGATTAAATCCTAGTAGTAATACATGTAATCGTTACATAGATACAGGTAGGTTATATAAAAATAATTTTATTTTTCATCTAAACCCATAGATAGTGCGTCTAGGGATTAAATGTTGATAAAGGATTCATCTATTTTTGAGTGGCCCCGGTTTTTTTATGTCACCGATTTCCAACAAGGACCTAGGTACTAAGACTAAGGAAATTTTTGGAAAAAGCGAAATCTCCCAATTCATAAGTAATTTAAATCTTAAGTTACCAAATAACAATCCCAAAGATCTACCCATCCATCTTAAAGAAATTATGCCTAGTGCTACAAAAGAATTTATACAATGACTGGTAGGATTTACCGATGCAGAAGGTTTTTTTTATATTTATAACAACAATAGTTGAACTGCAGCTTCTTTAAGGTTTAGTATAGAATTACATGCAGATGACATAAGAGTTTTACACAAAATAGCTCAAACTTTAGGTGTTGGAAGGGTAGTTAAAGATAAAAAACGTAATTCTGCTGTATTTTATGTAGTTAATTTTAATGATATTAATAGAGTGATCATACCTTTATTTAAGGAGTTCCCTTTACAAACTACTAAATATTTGGATTTCACTTTTTTCTCTAAAGCGGCCCTAATAAAATCGAAAAGCCCCGAAGGTGTAAGTAAATTAAGTAAAACAGATTTAATTGGTATTAAAACCTAAAGGAAACTATGAATAGTAAAAGATTGACTATAGATAAAGAGCAAGAAGATTTTTTAAGTAACAAAGTTTCTATTAATACCTGATGATTATTAGGTTTTGTAGAAGGAGAGGGAACATTTGGGTATAAACATCTTGTTCCGTATTTCCAAATTGCTCAACATAAAAAAAATCTTTTTGTTTTAGTTGCTATAGAAACTTTTCTGTCCAATATATTCAAAGAATCAACTAAAACATTAGATTGCGAGGAATTTAATGTTAAATACAAATTAAATAAGGTTACAGGTGTTTATAGCATAACCCTTGAAAGAATCGATTTAATTGTTTATTATATTGTACCTTTATTTGAATCCATGTCATTTTTTACCAGAAAATCTGTAGATTATCATTATTGAGTTATTTCTGTTATAATGCACAAATTTGGTTATTACTACTTACCTGAGGGAAAAAAAATTGCTCTACAAATATCTTCAGGGACGAATAAATACCGTTATAGTACTAACGATTTAAATAAAACAGAACTACCTGGTGTCGACTATTTATCCAAACTTTTTGCTCAAACGCCACCTTTTGATGTAAATAGTGGTCGTAGTCACTTTGAGTTAGTTAGAGAATTTACTATATCTAAAGGTGGACGTAAAGGTTTTATTGTTTATGTTCATAGCTCTGAAGGCTATAAAGAACTAAAAGGTTCACCTTTTTCTTCTTATGGTGCCGCACATATAGCTATAGATCTAAAGCCTGGTAGTAGAGTGATAGGGAGATATATCGATACAGGCAAATTATATAAAGATAAATATATCTTTTCTTCTGTTCCTGTATAAATTAATTACACATAAAATTAATGAATTATTACTTAAATTTTTAGATTGTTATTTCTTATGAATTTTGGAGATTTTATAAAAATCGGCACAGACTCAATCCAAGTCGTAGATTATGCGTGATGTAAACAACGGGTGATTAATACGTTATTTACATAGTAACACTGCTTCAGCTTTCTTCTTTTTAGTTTACCTACATATAGGAAGAAATATATACTACGGATCATATAGAGCACCTAGAACATTAGTGTTTACTATTGGTGTAGTTATCTTTATCTTAATGATGGCTAAAGATAAGTGGCCAAATTGAATGTTAATTTCTCATAATAAATGTATCCAATATAACTCATCATCTTATTTCAGTAAATCTAGAACTAAAGCGTTATATAGAATAGGTCCACATAATAAGGAGGTTTTATCTATTATAATATGCGGTATGCTTGGTGACTGGTGAGCAGACCAAATTAAGGGTCAAACATCTCCAAGTGTAAGATTTAGTATTGAGCAAGGAATAAATAATACTGCTTATATTCATAGTCTTACCTTATATTTTTATAAATTAGGTTATTGTTCTAATATCACTCCTCACTTTGTAAAGAAATCTGATAAAGACAGTGCAAAAGAGTTGGAAGATAGGTTTAATTACAGATTAACTCTATATACTTTTACTTCATTATTGTGAATTTATGATTCTTTTTATAAAGACGTAAACGGAAAAAAAACCCAAATTATACCTAACTGAATAGGAGAATACATAACTCCTATAGGTTTAGCTCACCTTGTCATGCAAACAGGATCTTTTAAATCAGAGGGGTTAATTTTATATACAAAATTTAACGACATTAATGATTTAAATTTATTAAAAAACGTTTTAATAGATAAATATGGTATTGATACTACGGTATTAAATCATTCTGGTAAGATGGAAATATGTATTAAAGTAGAATCTATACCACTTTTACGTTCAATTATTCATCCTTATATGTACCCTGAATTATACTATTTATTAGACAGTAATCATTTAAATACAACAGGTGGTTATATAAACTATAATGACCAAATTAAAACAGTTGCTACTTATGATGATGCTGACGTTAATAAAGAATTGGCTGTTAAAGAAAATAGGGGTAAATCAGGTATATATCGTTGAATAAATAAAGAAACCGGTAAAAGCTATGTAGGATCTAGTGCTAATTTAAGTAAAAGATTTTACCAATATTACAATTATAACCACATAGCCGATACTAAACGTAATATGCGTATAGATAGAGCTCTTTTAAAATATGGATATTCCAAATTTAAACTTGAAATACTAGAATATTGTGAAATATCTAATTTGATTGAAAGAGAACAATACTACTTAGATCTTTTAAAACCTGAATATAATATTTTAATCAGAGCGGGGTCAAGCTTAGGACTTAAACATTCAGAAAAAACTAAATTACGTATGAAAACTAAAACTCCAGAACATTTAATAAAAATCAAAAATAATATAGCAAAATTGAATGCTTCACCTTTTCCTGCGGATGTTAGAGGTAAAATTACCGCAGGTATGATTAAATTTAATGTTTTAACTAAAAGTAAAAAAGTTGTATTTACTAATATAGAAACAAATGAAAAATTAGTTTTTAATTCATTTAGAGATGCATCTCTAAATATGAAGATATCTAGAAATACAATTAATAAATACCTAGTTAGTAAGGAGATATATGGTAAGTACAAAATAACTTTAACATAGTTTTTCTACAGTAAAACCCCGCAAGATGGTTCTAGACAAGCAAAACAAGGTATAAACATTGCAACTAATAGTTTTACTTTTAAAGAATGTACTTTTTTATGTGATATATTAAAAGATAAATATAATCTTAAATGTACTGTTGTAAAAACAGGGTATCCAGATCAATGAAAAATAAGTATTTGAAAAGAAAGCATGACTGATTTAGTTGCAATAGTTAAACCTTATATAATAGATGAGATGAAATATAAATTTATTGGATACATTTAATATGAAATTAAAAATCAAAGTCCGTCTCTAATAAAAGTATATGCAATATGTATATAGAAATATACTAGTAATAAGATTTTACTGTGAGATAGTATACCCTGACAGGGGTATAGGATAACTACTAGTTATCTGGCAATGCGGGTGAATACGGTTAAAGACTTGATATCTAAGTTAAGACCGTCGGTTCTATACAGGATCTCTACAGACTGGGTCACCTGTGGGTATCTGAAATGATATCTAATGTACAGTCGGAAATTTCTATAACAAATTTGTTATACACAAGGCTTTAAATGAGAAATATTATAAAGAGATTTAGCGTGTCTCGGGGACTAATATTTTGATAAAGTACAGGCGCGCTATTCAGATAAAATAAAAGGATAGTTAGCGGAAATTTAGACAGCTTTCCTGGGTTACCAACATAGCCCAAAATGGTTTGATATAAGTAATAAAGAAAGTGTAAATTTTAATAAAAAGAATGTAATGAATTTTAAAGTAAATAGTAAAAGACTATTTAACAAAAGTATAGTAAAAAGAGGATATTCTACAAGTAGTTCTTCAAATAGTAGTATAATGTCTGAAAGACTAGAAACAATTATTAATGAGTTAGGTTTAAACCTTGTGTATTGCTATGAAAATTTAAATTTAGAAGAAACTATCCCTGCCGGGATGAGCCCCATCGGGGGTCTTCCCAAAGGGTCAGCCCTCTCGGGGCTGTTTGGACCCCCTCTCTCTCTCAGAGAGAGGGGGGCCTAGAAAACAAATATTAAATGATACAAGAGGTTTAAGTGGTATATATATGATAATTAATAAAACAACTAAAGATTATTATATAGGTTCTGCCTCAACTGGTAGATTTTATGCTAGATTCTGCAACCATGTTATTTATTTTAGGGGTAGCAAAATAGTTAAATTAGCCATTAAAAAGTATGATTTGAAAAATTTTGCTTTTGTTGTATTAGATTTATATCCTAATATTGTTACCAAAGAAAATAACCATGAATTGTTGCGTTTAGAAGATAAATACTTAAAATTATTAGTACCTAATTACAATATTTTAACAGAAGCAGGTTCTAGTTTCGGATATAAACACACTGAAATTGATCGTCAAAAGATGAAAGATATTTATAGTGATGCGAGACGGGAACAAATAGCCCCGGCGTCTTCATCTTTTTAAAAAAAAGATGAAGACTGGGGCTGCTTCGCCGGTAAATTAAATAAAGGTAAAAATTTGTCTCATGAAACAATAGAAAGAATTAGAGAAAAAGCTTTACTTAAACCTCCTATGTCAGATGAAACTAAGAAAAAGTGTATAGTTAACACAAGACCTGTTGTGTTGTACAACTTAGATAGAACTATTTACGGTCAATATCCTACTATTTTAGAAGCAGCTAAAGCTATTAACTGTAATGAAAAAACCATTAGGAGAGCATTACAGACAGAAAAGAAATTGGTAAAAAGACAATGAATAGTAGAAGATATGTCTCGTAATAAATAGGTCTTTT